ATTCATTCATTCATTCATTTATTCAATCATTCATCTATTCAATCATTCATTCATATTTCAACACCCAGATAGAGAGAGAGAGAGAGAGCTCGTGCCGCATTGAATCAAAATTGCCTTTGTACACTAAAACACAGGAACATTTTTCAAATTCTTTTTTAAAAAGATTTTATTTAATTTTTTTTACTTTCCATTTTGAATTCCAAGAGTGTTTTATGATCACTCTGAACGTTTTTGGAATGTGTTGATAACAAAGTTAGATATGTAAACTGCTACCCACCCTTACATTCAACTAAAATGTACAAACTAGTTAAATCCAGGCAACTGGTATCTCTGATTTTAAGATAGGAAATACTGGAATGCTACTTCTTCCCCATATTTCTATATGGCGCAGAGACCTGGATTTTGACAAGGAAAGAAGAAAACAAAATAAATGCGTTTTTGAGATGTGGTGCTACCGTAGAATGGCCAGAATAACTTGGAAAACAAAAAAGACGAACAAAGAGGTGTGTCAGATTTTACACACAAAACAAACCCTGCTGAGTAAAACAAAATGTAGAAAAATACAATACTTTGGCCACTTAAAACGGCACGATACCATTGTGAAAGAGGTGCTTGAAGGAAAGATGTGGGGCAGGAGAGCCAGAGGAAAGCAAAGACTAACATGGATGGACAGCATAAGAACGTGGACTGGCCTGGATATGGTAGAATGTGCAACGGTAGTTGGGGACCGTGAAAGATGGAGGGTCATTAATAATAATAGATAGCATTTGTATAGCGCAAATTCCCGCTCAACAGCAAGCTCTACGCGCTTCACAACCTATGCTATTACCCCAGCCGACTGAGAGCATTCTGAAACAAACCCAACTTCCTGGGAAGCATACAGTGCAAGCAGCCATTTATAGGCGCTAAAAAAATTAACATACTGACAAGAGCTTTCGCTGTCTATTGCCGGGTACCCATTCCCACCTGGGTGAAGTGAGGAAAATTCGTATTAACACAACGTCGGGCCCGCGGCTCGAACCCCCGAACCCGCAACCTTACGATTACGAGTACGCTAGCCTAGCCACTAGAATTTGTACGACGGCGACATGAGTTCCATTCCTGAGCGGGGAAGTTCATTTATCAGTTATACCATATTCTGTCAACTGGGACGCTGTGTCCCACTCAAACTGGGCTGGGCCTGACAAGCACACACTGTTAAAACACCCGACTTTCTATATGATCTTCATTTTGCCCTTGAGGCTTAGAATATTTACACGCACTCACTCAATCTGTAATTGCATCCAGGTATTTGCCAGCCTCCCCGATAGCTCATTAGACTTTTGTTTTGTGCTCCGTTATCTGACTTGGCATTATGTTGGATAATGGAGCGGATGCCTCTAGTTCGAATCCCAGACTGAGTTTCCTCGCTATACTCTCAACCCATTTGGCTTGGTGCTATCAAAGACATACATTAAATGTTAATTTTTAAATTAAGAGATCCTGACTTGAAAACAAATTCATAGTTTTGATATCGGCGTGAAGCAAAAACGTTTTCACTTTTTGCGCTCTTCGTTGTTGACGATAAATGTGAGGCATCGTGGTGAAATCAGGCACTCTTTAAAAATAACGAAATTGAAGAAACTGGCATTTTCCCGTCTGTTGGGCAATTTAAAAATTAATAAAAAATTTATTTAAAATTTTTTAATTCGTTTAAGAAAAAA